CGACCTTTGTGTGCAAAAGAAGTATGTACAGTCAAGACCATCGACCTGAGCTACAAATATTCTCCACTATTTCAAAAAGTATGTACAGTCTTTGTCACTCACTACCTTGGCATTAACTTTATTCAGTGTTGGTCTGTATCCCGTTTCTTTCCAACTTCCCCTTTTGTTAGATCTATCTTTGTACTCTTATATCATCATTATCACTGTTATTATTGTTGAATTCAGTAGTTCTCGGTGTTAATTCATTCAATATTCCAAATAACCGAAACTTTAAACCAAACATTTCACATTACTCCACCGGAATAACACAAGTAAAAATACACCTTATATGATGAAAAAGATGGGTTATGTAAGATTTTTTAAAAATCGTTTGTAAGGTGCATATATATTAAAAACGGGTGAAAACATGGTAGAGTTGATAAACGACCAAATGATTAGGTAATATGAACAAGACTAGTTGATTGGGACGAATTGAAAATGTTTTCATAGTATAAGGTGTATTTTTATTTATGTAATTCCGGTGAAGTAATGTAAAACGTTTTGTTTGAAGTTTCAGTCATTTGGAACATTGAATGAAGTAACACCGAGAACTACTGAATTCAACAATAATAATAATGATAATGACGATATAAGATAGATATATAAGGATACCATTTACGGCTTGTAAACGTCAAGGGGTTTGGTTGCCAAAAGATGTCTGATGCTACATCACCTATAAATTCGAGATTCATGAGTATAGTCTTTTCAGAAACTGAGTAAGTGACTAGTTTAGTGTATCTTCCTCACATATTTTTATCAACAAATCAGCTATAATAGTCATTCTCAGCAAGCGTATATATATATATATATATATATATATATATATATATATATATGCAAAGAGAGGGGAAGAGGCTAATGAGGATTTTATTTTTAAAGTAGTATTCATCTCGGATCCTGATTGAAGATCTTGGACGATAGTCGCACCTAATCGCGAATCGACAGAACCAGGAAACTGTGGACTATTGAAGTCTGGCCAACTGGCTGAATACCTAATACAGCCACCGTGAAACCTGAAGGCTCTGAGTTCAATCCCCGATGGGTTCGTGGGTGTGTACTGCTGCGGAATCCCATAGCAGGACGAAGCAGCTGTCCAGTGCCCCCAGTTCTTTAATGTTTCTCCAACTGATGTTAGTCCATGATGAACAAATTCGTTGGAAAGAGTCCTCTACACTGAATATCCTGTTTTTGAATCAACTTAAGTAGTCAAATATGCACTTATATTCTCTTGCGTAGTTACTGCTCTATCTTTGGTCCATCCCGTAGCTGTTATGCATATCGATGGAGTTGTACCATTCATGCTTTTTCCCCTACTGAGACCGAGTGAGAATAATACCTTTTCATTACATTAAAGCATACAAGGCAACCACCACCAGCGCTTCGTAATAACCCACACTATTATCGAATCGTAATGAATTCAACAACTATGTGCACATTTTGTATAGTAGGCTAATGATACCACCTGTCTGCCCAAATCACGGTAGGTGAAGCAGGTTTAGAACCCATGACCCATCGGCTGGAAGTCGAGTGCCTAGACCGATGAGTCCCACAGCTTCACAATGATGAATGTAGAATATAAGTACAAAGATTTGATCAAATTACAGATGAATAAGAATGATTAGACTAAGATAATGTAGAAGCGATTGCCTGATATCGACTTTCATTACATATCTGTGAATGTTAAGTCCCAGCCAATGTTTAGACGCATTCTCGATTCTCGTTATAGTGTTAGTGTTTCGAAGTTGAGAAAGCGGTTGTTCAAAAGTCTTTGATTTTTAACGATTTTTAATGGCATGCTTCAACTCTGGGCTACCGTTTTCTATCATCGAGTATACTGCATTAAATTTCTTATTTCTATATTGTTCTAATCATTTAATTATGTCAACCAATCGTATTGTATATTCTAGCGCGTTTTTAAAATCATTACAACCTATCGCTTCGCAAGTTGATAGGAAATTTAAGAAGAAGCACCACGGTGGATGGCAACGAGCTCTGAAGCGTATGACCATAGATCAAATGACTATTCCGGAAATACTTAGCACAAACTGCAGGTCGTTGCCGAATAAAGTTGATTACCTTCAGTCACTCTTGTCCACAAATGTTTATCGAAACACGGGTGTAATAATGCTGCAGGAAACATGGCTTCATAATCTGTATGATGATGACTTAGTCTGCTTAGATGGTTTCAAATTATTTCGACAAGATCGAAGCTTTTCGAAGAAGAAATGTGGTGGTGGTGTAGCAACATTTATTAGTACTAACTGGTCGTCCTCCAACTATGTATGCTTCTGCTTCTCTAACGAAAAAATTGAGTGCATTACCATCAAATGTCGCCCCAAAACAAATACATATATATCACAAACATGTATGTCACACCTGACTGCAGTTTCTCAGATTTGTCAACTTTTGCTGATAAATTCACTGAATTTGCTGCTCCGGTTCTGGGAAACTCCTTGTCTATTGTCTGTGGTGATTTTAACTCATGTGACTACAGTTTTCTATTATCATTGGGTCATAAAAATATGGTTAACTTTTCCACTCGTCTTGACAACACCTTAGACTTTGCATTTACAAATGAACCTGGCATATATGAAGCCCGTAAACGGGCTCCACTGCTAATTCCGACCACTGTATCGTTCGTGTTTTGCCTAAAGTGTACGGAAAATTATACAAGAAAGCTTTTGCATACCTTTCAAGGAAAGTTCAATACAGATGCTATTCACAAGAAAATATATTACGTTTGAGAAGCATGCTTATAGAAACGGACTGGGATATATTTGCTGATGAAGTTTTAGACAACACTATTACCAATATCACAAGCTATCTCAGATTCTGTCTCGATATCTGCTGCCCTACTGAAACAATTTACATGAGATTTGACAGACTTTCCTCTCCTCATCTCAAGAGGCTTCGGAGAGAAAAGGAAAGGTTGTATAAGGCGAGAGATCACCCTGGCGTTAAAAGGCTTAACTGCCTAATTAAGTCTGAAATACAACGTCTGAATACTATATACAACAAGAAGTTCTTATCGTGTAAGAACTCTTCCAATATATGGAAATTATTTAAAGAGCTTACTGGTAAAAAACAGATGACAACACAAACTCGTTCGGATGTCTGCGCGTTAAACAAGTCATTTATACGTCGGCAAGCTAATTTCACCCTTCCTAATGTGCAAAATCAAGTGGATAGCTGCTTTCCAGGTTTCAATACAAATGATGTATTTAAATGTCTAAAGTCTTTGAATCCCTCCCAAAGCTTAGGTCCTGATGGTGTTTCTAGTATCATATTTAGAAAATGTGCAGATATTTTGTGTCATCCACTTACAGATATCTTCAATGTATCGTTCTCTAAAAACATAATACCCACTGCTTGGAAGCAGATAAAAATTGTACCTGTGCCTAAGCCATCTTCTGGATCAGATGTTACTTTTCGACCCATCGCTATAACTTCCCCTTTTCTGAAGACAATGGAGAAATTACTTCTGTTTGTGATTGAGCCTTCATTGATGGCCTTCAGAGATCCAAAACAGTTTGCTTACAAACACCGGAGGAGTACTTTAGATGCAGCTACTGTCTTGCATCATAATATTGTTTCTAGTCTCGACAAAGGTGTTAAGTATGTCCGTTGTGCCTTTTTGGATTACTCATCAGCCTTTGACTCTGTTCCTAGACCACTTTTGTTAAATAAGCTTGCCATAGCTCACACTGATCCATGGGTTACAAAATGGCTGCATTCTTATTTTTCTGAAAGGAAACAGTACACTATTCATAAAGGATGCGCTCCACTTCATTGCTTACTGAAGCTGGTGTGCCTCAAGGTGCTGTACTTTCTCCTTTTCTGTTTTCCTTTTTTTGCACGATTTGCCTTATTCTGTTGAAACTAATTTTATCAAGTATGCTGACGACCTGACGATTTCTATTCCAGTAAACTCTTCTTTGGATTGCTCGAAATTAAATGAATTCTTGTCTGAAGTTGGTAAATGGTCTCTCTCAAATGGTCTCAAACTAAACCCCTCTAAATGTCAGACCGTTAATTTTAGCCTCAGGCGTAAACAAGACTTATGTGAGCTGCTTAAATCTCATGACGCCTGCTGCATCAATGGTATTTCTGCAGAAAGTAAATCGAGTGTGAACTATCTTGGGTTGCGTTTTACTTCTGACCTTTGTTGGTCGTCCCATATTTTATTGACTTGTAAAAAAATCTTTCGTTTAACTTATTACGTAAAGAAATTGAGGCTTTCTGGTATAACTCAACTGCTTCTTTTACAATTTATTAATTCCTGCATTTTACCTATTCTTCTATATTGTTCCCCATTAATCTTTCCTGGTCTTCTTAAAAAGGACTATGTTATGTTGCGTAGGGCTTTGAAGACCGTCAGCAGGGTGAGTGGTGTGTCTCTGGCTCAACTGATTAACACTGTAGTTGATCGACATATAAATTCCTGCAAGCTACTAGCTACAGAAATTTTAACTGACAGTGAGCATCCACTTCATTTACAGCTCTCTCCATGTATCTCCTCAGGGAGGACAAGGAGAAACTACATAACACTGTATGCTCGTACAGCTAAGTATAAGAATTCGACTGTACCTTACCTTGCACGTATGTTTTGTGAGGAAAAAAGTGTTAGAACAGAAATCACACATCAACTTTGTGACAGTTAAAAATCTCATTTCAATAATTTAACTTACAATGCAAAATTTTCTCGTTTTTAATATTCTTCACATAACTTAAATTTTTATAATAAAACAATTCGAAAGGCTGCAAAGTAGTATGTGTATACTTATATTTTGTTGTTATTACAATATGTATTACGCTGAGAATTCCAAATTGTATCACAAATTGTTTGGAATAAAGTGAATTATTATTATTATTATCATATAAAAATGTTGTATATATATATATATATATATATATATATATATATATATATATATATATATATCATGGAAATGTGAACTTACTGATTATTGTACAAATGATAATCAAACCAATGACCAAACCAATTAAAGCTCCAGTACTTAAGTTATTATTATTATTATTACTGTTGTTCACATCCGTGCCTGTAGAATTCTCTGCACCCACAATGGTATTACTAGCCATAATAAGTAGTATTCCCATAATTAATATATGTCTGTAAATTATTTGAAATGTGTTCAACCAGTAATTAGGCAAGTGTATAAATGAGTGAATTCTATTCCACAGGATCATTTGAAATATCATCGAATATTTATGTATTATTACTGTCACTGTTGTTGATGCTGCTACTTGTGTGTTGGATATCAGGATCACGTAATAAGTGTCATGAATATGAGTATAACTGCAAACATTATTATCATTATTATTATAAGCACCCGTACTGATGTGAAATGATTCTTGGAATAAAACAATTATCTGAAACTAGAGGAAAAATACTTGAAATAAGTTTATAGGAGGTCATTGGTCCGTTGTCTTCTTCTTTTTATCTTAAAGGTAGTTTTCGTTTCCACATACTGTATTGATTTAATGGAATATATCAAAGCAAAGAATAGTTTTATACACTTTTTCACAATTTTCACTGTTGTTCTAAAGAAATACTGAATATATATTTATGTATATAAAAATTTCCACGACAATTCAGAGTAAAAAATATAGTTAGTGATTCATTGCACAGAAATGAATGAACTGGAGTTGAAGAACTATAGTGTACTCAATAATTTTTTTTGTGTCTTGTTCAAGGGAATCAATGTAATTAGATTACTCCATATAAGATCGATATGATCAATTCAGTGATAAATTCAATGCCTAAATCAATCATGTAAAAAGATCAAAAATATTAATAATCATGATAAAATCCATAAATCAATTATTGAATTATTCTGAAAAAAAAAAATACACTGAACTTAATTAAATAAGAAAGATATGATGACTAATTTGATGAATTAGATAGTAAAGTACTAAACCACCTTCGTTTTCAATAGACTTTATCAAATGCAAAAGAACTTCACTTGTAATTCTTAAAAGGTTACAGTGAAATGAAGCGAAAGCGGTGAAATACTGTTTTTTGACACATAATTTCCCACAGCCGTACTGGATCCTTTTGCTAGACCTCTGTTGTCACATGACCTCATACGAGGATGCCACTATACTCACAGGTAAGTTATTACTTTATAGTTTACTCGATGGTTTACAGTGCAATCCACCAAACGCATTGCATTCTCTCTGGGACCTGTCAGTTGGATGCATCTGCACTCCAATGAATGATGGTATTCCCATGAGACTGGAACCCACTACTCGTCACTTCAAACACCAAAATGTTATCCACTAAGCCACTACAGTAAATATTACGTAGTGAACTCAATTTTTCATGATTTAGATAGCTTTAAATTATCTGAATCATGAGACTCCGACTTAATATATAGCAAAATTAAAGCCAAGGCAATGCATTCCGATAGTACAAGTCATCAACAATCGACGTTGAAAAGTATAGATAATCGTAGGACATAAACCAACAAGTCAAACAGTAATAGTGATCAACGAAAATGAACAAGCTGTTTTGATCCTCCATGCTAACGAGAAACAGAAAGCACACATACCATACATAGTTGTCTAACCGATCTAATAATGCATAGAAATACATATGTGTAAATAATACTACTATTTCTGCTGATGAAAACGAAAATACTCATATAACTAATGGAAAAGAAAGTTCAATGGGTAAATTTTGTGAATGAGAAGATAAAAGGTGATCCATGATGCATAGCAAAATCAAAGTGTTATATACTTGTGGCTTTTTATTTTATTTTAGAGATTACTTATGGAAGTCTAACTCTCTAGTCCAAACAGATGAATTTTAGCCAGTAAGTAAGAGGTTTGAATCTCATTACTACACTACATCAATTTCGACCTCTTTGTTGTCATCATCTAAAGAACCGATGAAACGTAACAAGAATTAATATTTACAGTTTCAACTGCAGTTTCGGTTACTTTCTAATAGATAGTAGTACAACTTATACTTTAAAAATACAAATAATTTTTGTCCTTACATCATTTTACATGTTATTACAAAAAAATTTGATAAATTCCGTATATTTAGTTTAAAAACATGATTAGCAAGCCTAGGAATTGAGCTGCTAAAACTCTTCAGTAATAATAAATTATTATGCATATGAATAAAGTAAAACTTGCAGTCGATTAGTCCTTTCAAATGACAAAAATAATAGTAATGTCTTTCATAGTATTCAAATTCTTCTTCTTAACAATACTAATTAATACACAATTTTAAACAATCTCTGTATTATTATAGACATTGGCTGTTATAAAACTACCATAAATACTAGGTCAAATGGTGACCTTGAAGCGTACTCGTAAATCTGTAGACATTCGCATGTGCGTAGGCAGTAAAATCGCGCACTATGATTGGTCACCTGAAATATGCATTTTGGTTCACTTACTGGTTTATTTGGTTGGTTGTTTTACGTTCTATGAATGAAGTAGGCCAACATAACAGCATGGTAATAGTGAGTAACTATGACAAAGCAGAGGATTATTTAGATTCAGTTAACGTTGCTCATTCAATTTTCAATTAAAATTTAAAAAAACTGTTTCTACAACAGAAAATAAAAATAATAGTAGTAAAGCAAATCGATTTAGAAATGGTGTATTGCATATTCTTTCTTTGTTTTCACAAATGCTGCATCTAACTATACAATAGACAAATAAGTGAAAAGTTCAGTTTATAGATTAGTTGTTCAGAAAATACCACAATGTATGACTAATAAGCAAGATTTTTAATCCCAGTTAAGGAACAGTCTTTTCAAAATTATTATTTGCTGATATGCACATAATTCTCCGTTGTTGTACTGGAACGAAGTGATCGAATACTGCTCGCATATGGGCGCCTGTGTGGATACCTTAGTGGTCTAGCGGATAACGCTTTGGTGTTTGAAGCGATGAGTAAGAGGTTCGAGCTTCAAGGGGAACAACATCACTTACTGGGGTACAGGTACATCCAGCTGATGAGTCCCAAATAGGAAAAAACGCACCTCGTAGATTTTACTGATAGTCACCACCAACTCAGTTATAATCTTCTCAGTAGCTTAGCATTTTTTTTAAATGATAAAATTAAAATTCCTTTCCTTATGATAACACCTAAATTTCCACGGAGTAAATGTGTATTCTAGATTTTGAATGACTAAGTGATTGACTGAAAGATGGCTAAACTTGCCACGCCTTTTGAGACGACTTTAAGCACAGGAAGAAAGGAACAGAAAAATTGAAGTAATAAAAATAAAACGAAGTTCACAAAGACAAATAATAAATGTGTTCAGAATATATATTTGTTTTTAGATGAAAGAGAAATTGTATCTGAATCACTGCGTATGACTCGACATATTCAGACCTAGATACTGAACACTATAATAACGAGTTGAGAAGGTTAACGCACGTTTTAATGTGGATGTCAGCTAGTTCTCGCTAACCAAAGATTGAAACGCTATTTTATGCTTATTAGTCAATTACTTCGGCATAGGTTTACCGACGTTTTCACTAGAGGGGTCGAACAAGTCGGGTCCGAGAGCAAATAACAGTCAATGGTATTAGATGGCGGTCACGCTATATCGTGAATTGGTAGAAGTAGGAAAATGCTTACCATCGGATTTCAATTCACTTGTCTGATAGTTATTCATTTGCCGTGAAACGTGAAGCTCCTAGGTTGCTTCTCTGTAAGGGTCATGAGTCCCCTCCGCTGATGAGTAAAATGTTCGGTGGTCCATGATTCTCAATGGTTCTCCTCTAACTGGTGTCAGTTCGTAACAACTACTTTTGACGCCTAAGTTAACCGTAGATCAGACATGAGTAAAATACCCTCGGTCCATAATAACACACACAAATTCGACAAGCAATCGGCATCTATGGAGTAAGACTTTATAAAGCTAGTATTTACGGTAACCGTGTTTTAGAACTGAGAATTGACTTGATTCAAATGTTTACGTTTAGAAAAATACACCCGTTCCAGATACGACATTTACCGCTTAATTCGGTATACAGTTTCACTTTACACTAGCAACCTAATACTTCGCCAAAAAAGCACGTCATCAGTGTCTACTAATACTACCACCTAGTCGATGAGTTAATTTAAGACACAGAATTGAAACTGCTCCACTTCTCAGTAAAAAGTGAGAAAAGATTTACAAAACTAGTCACTGGACAACTTTGTAACCATACAAAAGGTGAAATAGACTTTATTTATATGCAAAAGAACATAACTAAACCTCTTGGGTGTTAGTAAATGTAAAACCACAGGTAAAGTTACGTATTTACCTCTAAACCAACAATACAGTAGATTAAAAAAGACATTTTAAAAACATGTTCTCATCAAAAATTTAAATTCAAGTAAAAAATAACCTGGTTAGAAACAAAAACCCTGAAAGTATATTTCCTTCAACGAACTAGCCCTTGCTTCCTAAAAGTGTTCGCAGCTAGACTCAGATTGATTACAACTGATAATGAAAGCTCAGTCATAGTTAAAACCCTCTTCTGTTGATTACATTATCTGAGATGGTCTCGGTTGGCAGACTGACCTTAATATACAAGAATGCTAATCCGATGTGGAAGGAAACCTCCATGTTAACAGTTGGGTTGCATAACCAATTCTATATAATGTCAAGAACTCCAGCCAGGTCACTAAATATGGTGATAATCTCCATAGCAGTATAGAAAATATACCATAGGATCCACTGCAATGACTATCCAAGGTTGTTTCTATTAGTGTCCGTAAGTATGGTATGTGCAAAGTACTCTTGCAAGATTAACAGGAGCCTGTGCCTTCGCTCACCCTTGGTGGTGAGCCACTGGAAGCAGTCAAAACGTTCCTGTGTCTGGGCAGTTGTGTGAGTGATAATAGGGGTGTGAGCAGTAAAATTTACAATAGCATATCGAAAGCCAGAGTGGCATACGTCAATCTGGGCCACCCTTAGAGCTGTCGCGAGATTAGTCTGATCGTCTTAGGTTAGGTTTACAATGCTTCGGTGTGACCAGTTCTGCTGGATGCTTGTGAAACTTGGACTCTTCGAGATAAAGATGTGCGACGACTCTATGTGTTCGATCATCGTTGTCTCCATAGAACCACTCGTATCCGGTGGCATTACCATGTGAGTAATCCTGAGGTCCGACAGTATCTGTTTGGGAGTGACGGAAGTCGTCATTCAATAAGTGAAGTCATCTGGAAGCACGTGGCTTGGACATAGGTTACGCATGTCGTCCACACCATTCACTGTTTGCTAATCCTGAAACTGGGACTGAATGGAAGGAGCGGAGGGGTAGTCAGCATACAACGGAGCGATGTGGAATGAAGGATAGTTGTATTAGGATTAGTATCTGTTGCTTCATCACGACTCTCTGGGTGGGGTCCGAGGGATCACTCAACTCAGTAACTTGGGACGTCATCACATATGGTTCAAAATCGAAACCAGTGGTGGTCATGCTAAAGTTTCCTTCAATTTTCTGATGCTGAAAAGTAGTGAATGTTTTTTCTTGAATTTACCTTACTGGACTGCCCTTCTAATCATTCTATTCTTACTGTGTTATATTTTTATCAACTTTCCTTCGATTTATGTCTTTATAACGCTGTTATATTAATCTGTGCGGTGCCTTTCTTGGTGCCCTTGTTGTATCATGTTTGTCTTCTAATAATAAATAAAATGATGTTTTTTTAATATAAAGAATACAAACAAATTTAGATCCGGCGGTTATGAATAGTAAAACAAAACCATTACTTCAAGGTCAAATAACTGAGCATGAAAGTC